TGCCCCCACCCCCCCCCAGTTTGTATCACAAACCTTGAGAGTACTAGAAACTAAAACTTTCTAATCAGCATGGTAGCTGCTGTACACACGCAACGATAATTTAGTGGGCTATTTTTTCCCCTGCAAGGGAGACCTAATAGCACTACGTCATAAACAACTGTTAAAACAGTGATTTACAAGTAACGCCAAGCTTAAAATCTGCTTCTGCTAGTTTAGTTCACATTATTTTGATTTGCACATACTCCTTGAAACACTAAAAAGCAGCCTAGTCCCAAACCAAGTAGCCTACTTGTGAAAGAATGAAAGAATATACAGTTCTAATACATCAAACTGTAAATCATAATCTAATCTTAATCAAAAAATTAAGACAAATAATTATGACTTCTCCTGAGATCCCTGTAATTCCCCTACCATAACATGGAACAACAGGTAAACCATGTTAGTCTCATCAACTGTTACAAGGCAACTTGGCAAGGTGCTCCAGCACCACAAAACTTAGATTTTAAGTTTTAGAAGGGTATCAGCAGAACCCCCTACACTTTGAAACACTGTGTGAACTCTACATACATTTTGATCCACAACAAAAAAAAAAAAGCAGCATGTATTCCTCAGAATGAAGGTGTGTCTTTGTTCTTTTAACATACCTGTGTTTTCGTAGATAGGTTTCTAATGTTATTAAAAGACAACTAGAGTCAATTAAAACTACTTCATCCCTGCATTCTTGGGACATGAGCTCCCACACATCCATCCAACAACCCCTGCAAAAAACAATCACAAGAAACAAAAGATTGTTCATTACCCTGTTAGGGGTTCAGAAAAGCAGCAAAACAAAGCAGCATTAGTTTACCTGACTGCCCCCCGGAACGGTGCACAGTGAAAAGTGATGCTACAATTGCTCTCCTCCTTCCCGCTGTATACACTGTTTTTCTTAACTGCACTTACTTCTCTGTACTGAGTGTGCTACTTATTCTCTTCACTATCACATACTATAAAAACCATTTTTTTAAACCTATACTATATATTATGAACTATTTTTCCTAAAAAATTGCTATAAAAATGCTACTGTGTTGCTTAACTTACTCTGAATCCTGTATAAGCTAAGCCTTAACTTCCAGTAAAGTTAGGGTCAGACACAAGTTACCAATTTTGCTGTCCATGTTTATAAACCCAGATTCATAATGACTTTTTAAAAATTACAGCTGAAAGCCAGTAGTATTTCTGCAGACTATGACCTTAAGTATAAACACACCCAAGTTTTAATACTTCTAGCGGATTGAAGTTCATTACAACAACTTACTTAAAAAAAAACAACCCCCCGAAGGGCAAAACCAAAACCCAAACTTCCACACATCTACCCCCATGAGAAACCTTGAAACACCCTACATTAAGTTTCCAAAATCAGTTAAAAACAAAACAACTTCACAAGACACAATTGGATATGCTAAAAAGTACACTTAGAGAGCCAAGAACCAACTTTATACAGGGTTGTCTACACTTGATGTTCTGTCAGAAGGGGCATTTCTGTTAAGTCCATCTGTGGATGCAACACAGGAGGAAACCAGGTGAAGAAGCACTACTATTTAATAATTAGGTCCTCAAAAGCATTCACGTATGCTGTTATCTAGCTTGCCAGATCATACAGCTTGCGTTTATGGGAGGTTAACATGCTCCCTAGCCCCAAATGGAACTGAGCAGCCACAAACCAGGTACATTGAAACTGAGGACATCAAGTAACTCTCACGTGGCATTAGCTAGTTACGCAACTTGTATAATTAAACACACCGCTACAATTCAAAGCCTTTTTGTGTGTGTATAAAATGGCTAACAGATGCAACTCGTGAAGAAGTTTCTTCTTGTTAGGCAGAAGCTGTAAGTTGACAAGTAAAGTTTGTTGGTAAGACAATTCTATTTGATGTCTCTGTGCCTCTGCTGTTCGTAGATTTGCTTCCACTCGAGGCAGCTGACTAATTTGGAGAAATATCAGTACTGATACACCCTGATCACTTCTGTAGCATAACGAACAGGTATCAACCGAGCAAGCAGAGTGCAAGCCATGTTTCTTCAGCCAACTACGCTGATTGCCCACAAGCCATGTTATCAGATAAAGCTGAAAGCTTGACTTGCAGTGCATTAAAATACTGCTCTTCCACACACTCCCCATTAACCTGCCAGCACCCAAAATACTAGGGGATTTATTCCAGCATGAATAGAGGAAATAAAAGCATTTTCCTCTATTAATTTTCAGAATTGTTCTGCCTTGCCAAAACAGTAAGTGCAGGTTCTTACACAGGAGAGATTAATTTCATTAAAAACAAAGCAAGAAAATTAACACTTTCATAATGCTTTGAATTTGCCTTATTTAAAAAAATATATATATATACACCCCTACGATCTCTTGCTTGTATAACGTAAGCTTTAAACTAATTATATGAAAGGCCTGTAACCAAAATATAATAGGAGATAATGATTAGCTACCACTGTCTTCACACAGCACGTGTCAAATTCCACATGCCTAGCATCTCAGGGGATTTATCTCAACCCAAAGAGACTCAAGTCTGCATAGAAAAATACACATCCTGTAACTGGAAACCACGATCAAGCTTTCACAGGTTGTGTGCATAACCAGAAGCAGAACACATCTGACCAAAAAAAAAAGAAGAAAAGGTCCTGGAGACTCCAACTAAGCACAGCAGTTTAATGTATTGGTCATCATTTGAAAAAGTAGTATAAAAACCATCTCACGAACAAGAAACACCCCTCCCAAATGCACAACAGATTTACAGGGAGTGTTTTTCTGGTTAACGAGCTGGAATAAACCATTTCAGCTTCAAGACTGAGGCATATATGCCTCTTTTTCACTGGTGTATTCAAAACATGCTGTCACATTTTGAGAAAACACCTACTGAGTTTTAGTTGTAACCCTGCAGCCCAACCACAATACAGCCTGTCATTAGCAGTTGTGCAAGGCATTTTTAATAATCCCAAGCAAAAGTGATGTATATTTGTTTATCATGTACCCTTTCACCTTAAGGTGAGGAAAAACTGCTGATCAATCATTTGGGCACAAAAACCAGTTTCTTTCCAGAGCATTGTTTATACCCCAACACAGAAGCCATCCATGCCCTGAGCAGACTATACTCCAAGTTATATTGGATGACATAGGAAAAGCACATCCGAGAGCGCCCGTCTGTAATGGCCGAGGTGCATTTTGGCAACTAGTTTTGAAATTGAACATGGATATTTTTAATTCAAAAAACCCAAACCAAACATCCCACTACCAAGCAGAAGACCCTAAAGCCAAGAACAGCTAGAACTAAAGAGCAAGTTCTGGGAAACAGCTGATTTTGTACAGTAGCCTTAAACTTTGCAGGAAAGCACCACCAGTTGCCTCGGGGAGCTCTGACAAAGGGCAGAGGAAAGACTACAGGTCTTACGCTGGGCGGGCAGAAGACCTTGCAGCACTAGCTTTGTCCACTCAATACAGCGTGAGCAAAGGCAGTGGGAGAAGTACTAAGCATCCTACTGATAAGTGTCACTGCACAAAAAAGGATTACCCACCTTCTTAGGAAGGCCTACGCAGAAGGGCTCAAGCCCTACAACACCGACTGCTCGACTCCTGTGTGCCTCTGTTACTCTCCCCACAACTATTTGGGCCTACTATTATCCATACAGTTTGGAGATCACTACTCTGGCAAACAAGTAACAGCTGAAGAATTGATCTCAATGCTTAAAAATCAGTCTAAAAATTAGTATTACTTAGTTTCAATATGTTGGTTCCTTAAAATATTTTTAGATTGAAACGTGCACCTTAAACACAAACTTACCCCAAAGGTTTTGGTTTGTGCGTGTCCAGGGAGTGTAACTGACATCTCTTGTTCTTCTTACTTTTGGGAATTGCATCAATCATATCATTCAGTTTGGACCTATGGAAAAAAAAAAGTAACAGTATTCTGAAAACATGGTTATCCAGAGGAACTTTTAAGGGATTGATTCAGCTCATATATCAGAAACAAGTATGCTAATGAACATTAAATCTCAAACTTTCTTCCTGCCCCCCATTTTTACCTGCTATGACATACAGTCTTGAAGCGTGCAGGGAAAATGCAGTGTACATTTTCCAGACCAACGCTAGCACACAAGATAAAGATAACCCACATCTACACAGCTATTGCATAACTTTGTAAGCAACAGACCTCAACAACGACACCTCTTTCAGAAGTGTAGG